ATGCATTATTGCAGGCGCAGTGCAGCAGGTGCAGATCTGTGGCGAGTATTGGCTCGCGTTCAACGCGGTAAGTTACCGCAGGCATCGCGTCACCGCAGGCAGATGCAGGTGGCAAACGGCGAGGGCCCCACTACCCCGGCATCAGGCAAGCGCAAGGAATCACTTTGTGGAACGGATTGCAGCGCCCAGCATCATATTGCCCATTAGAGAGTCTCCTCGACACCCAGCTGGTGGAAGCGCCGGCACTGCTCACGGCGGTGTCGACCGCTGGCGGCGCCCAACACCGCATGGACGGAGGCCCCCATCAGCGTTCCCCGGGCCTCACACGTGCTCCCTGGGCTTGACGAGTCCCAAGAAAGGGGGCCTGGGGGTTGGGACGGAACAGACCGCCGTGCCCCCTCGTGCCTTCTTCCCGGGATACACCTCGTGAGCAGTGTGACGTCTCCAAACCCCTAGTGTTGGAGCCTTCCTGCACTCTCACTTGGCGACAGTGACAGGCGCACTCCTGTAAGAGAACTTGCGCAGACTTAGTGTACCCGCCGTTTCCAACCAAAGTCCGCAGCCCCAATATAAAACGCCTCCTTTGTTCCGGTAAAGCTCCTGCCCACGCGGCCCGTGCAAGCTCTCCGCCATGCCGCGACGGCCAAGCCGCGTTGCGCAACCGCTGCTGCTGGGTGAGCTGCCGGTGAAGCTGGGTTGTAGGGCGGAGCTGGATGGCGTGGGAGGCTGCCGACCCGCCAGGCGGCTCGGCCATCTGCTGCCGCCGCCGCCGGTCCTCCGCTCTGCATGCCGCCCCACCACCCACCCGCCCCATGCCACCTGCAGGCCTCGCCCTCTGCTGTCTCGCGGCCCCGGCCGCTGCCGGCTGGACCAAGGGTGAGCACGCCAGCAGCAGGCAGCAGCGCGTGGCCCCAGTGCCATGCTGGCGCCAGCGCGTCGCCAGCCTCCTCCCACCACCCCCGTCCTGCCTGCCCCGCAGCCACCATCAATGCCGACCCTTCCACCAGCAACCTCATGTCTGTGGCCTGGTTCGACGACTCCATAGGCGTGGCCGTCTCCATGGGCTCCATTCTGGCAAGCCCCAGCCCCGCTGCCACCCACGGGGCTCTCCCGCCGCGTGCCGCGCCCTGCCGCCGCAGGCAGCTGTAGCTGCTCTCTCCCCCCGCACGCTCGCGCCCCTGCCGCAGAGCTGCAGCTTGAGCGGGGCACGCCCTCCAGCACCATCCCTCACCTGCCATGCACTTTCCACCCTGCAGAGGACCACCGACGCCGGGCACACCTGGGTCAACGTCAGCGTGACCGAAACGGAGGCGGTCTACGGCCTGAGGAGCAACCTCCAGCTGTGGTCGGTGGCTCCAGCCACGCCCACCGTGGGCTACCTCGGCGGCACCTCCTCCCAGCTGAATGCCTCGGGCAACTCCTGTACCTTTATGGCCAAGACCACAGACGCGGGTGGGCAGGGGTGGAGGCCAGGCCGGCGGCCGCTCGCGGGCCGGTGCGTGCCGGCTGCGCCGCCTCACGATGAGCGGCGCGCCCATGCCGCATGTGCGCAGGTGCCACCTGGACGCGCCTCGACCTGAGGACTCCAAAGCAAATCACGAAGACGTGCTACAGCTTGGTTGCAGTGGACGCAGACCGAGCGTGGTGTGCCGCGGCAGACGGCTAGTGAGTGCGGCGACCGCGCCAGGGCGCCCAGCCCAGCTGCCTGCTGCCTGCTGCCTGCTGCTGCTGCCTGCTGCTGCTGCCTGCTGCCAGCTGGCACGGCGGCTCTCACCGGCACGCCCCCCCTGCCCCCTGCCCTGCCGCAGCCTGATCAAGACGGACAACGGGGTGAGAGCCGGCGCCTGGCACTGGCTGTGTGGCGCCGGTGTCGGGGCCGCTGCCTGGGCCGGGCAGCCCCCTCCCTTGCTGCCTCCGGGGGCCACTCCGCCGACATGCCGGCAGCGCCCCACGCTGCGTGCTGCCCGCAGGGCGCGAGCTGGACTGCGGTGAATGGCACCGAGACGCAGCTGCCGGCCGGCTCCGACCTCAGGTCCATCTGCGCCAGGGACAGCGGCCAGAAGCTGTGGGCGCTGGGCAAGGCGGTACCGTCCGACGGCAACCGCACCGCAGGTATCTACTCCACTGACTCGGGCGCCACCTGGCAGAAGCTCAGCATGCCCGCCGACAGCGCGCCGGGCCTGGAGCCTCGCTCCCTGTCCTGCGTGTCCTCTCCCATGATGACGGTACTGTCGTGCACGTTGGCGTCCTGCACCCTGGCCGGTACCACCGTGTACAGCGTGGCGTACGTGAGCGAGGACGGTGAGGCCGGGGCCGGGGCGGCGCAGCAGGCACGGCACGGCACGGGGCGCTGGGCGTGTGTGCGCGTGTGGGTGTGGGTTGGTGGGTGGGTGTGGCTGGGTGAGGGTGCGCGTGCGGCTGTCACGGAGGCTGCATGCCTAGCACGGCACCCTGCTGGCGCTCCCCGGTCCCCCGGGTCTTCCCTGCATGCCACGTCGTGCTGGGGAGCAGGCAGGGGGCTGAGTGTGCGCACGCCTGCGCGGGCGCCGACGCCCGCCACCGCCACAACCACCACCTTCTCTCCATCCCGCGTCCATTGCCGCCGCCGCTGTCCCACTGGCCTCGCCTGCCCCGCGTGCCGCGCAGGCGTCAATTGGTCTGTCAACCAGACCTGGACCGTCAGCGTA